AAGTAGCCTGCAGTGCTGCATTTAACCACTGCGCCACCTCGGCTCTTATAACCTGGTTTTGAAGTTCCAATGGCTGCCCCTCCCTCTGCGTGCGCTTGGCAACCAGCCCACATTTATGCATTTGCGGTGTCTCGTGGTCACATGACTGTGATTCACGTTTTTGTTAAAAAGCAGCGTTTTCTTCCGGTTTTCGGCAAAAACAGCCTGTAGCAAACAATGCATTCACTTAACAACCAGTCCCCCCCCAAAAAAGGTTGTAAAAATGCATCTGTTCACGTGGTGACCCAGCTTATGACTGACAAGCCCAAATGGGCAGGCTCCATTATGGTCGTAAGTCGAGGAGCACCTGAACGTCTATTACAGGTCATCCTCAACTTACAGCACTTCATTTAGCGACTGTTCGAAGTTACAATGGCCCAGAAAAAAGTGACTTACGACCATTTTTCACACTTATGACCACTGAAGCAACCCTGTGGTCATGTGGTTTAAATTCAGATGCTTGACAACTGTTCATAATTATGACTTTTGCAATGTCCTTTGGTGACCTTCTGGCCAGCAAAACCAATGGAAAAGCTGGATTCACTTAACAATGGCATTACTAGTTTAACAACTTAAAAATGTATCAAGAAAAATGGTAAAAATGGGGCATAACTCAATTATCTCACTTAGCAACATAAATGTTGGGCTCCATTGTGGTCATAAATCGAGGACTACTTGTATATTGAGCCATTGTACTCTATGTATTGTGTTCTATCTTATAGAATAGAATAGGATTCTTTATTGGCCAAGTGTGATTGGACACACAAGGAATTTGTCTTTGGTACATATGCTCTCAGTGTATATTTCACTGTTTTGTGGTTATTTTATTGTATGTTATGGCAATTCCTAGGTTACGAACTGGGGTCAAAACAATAAACTTAACTATTTATTTACACTCACCTTTTCAGCGGCTGCATCAATGGCAGATTGATTGTAGAAAGAGGTGACCGTCTTGGATCGCTCCCTGGCCAGCTCGTGATGCTGATCGATAGCTGAAGACGACCCATATCGGAGTCCAGGGAGAAGGAAGGGGAGTACAGAAGGGGCCTGGTTCCCTGCTGCCCCCAGTTCTATCCGCAGCAGTGTTTTCCACATAATTCTCCTTACCATAGACTGCCTGCAGAGAGAGAAAATGTGCTAACCCACTTTAGAAGTCCTTCTTGTATCAATTTGACCAAGATCCTGAGTCCTGGCTAACTCCCGGATTAGCTGCTCCGGGGACTATCAAAACATCGGCTGTGAAAGGCATGCTGCATAACTCCACCACCAAAACTTCCCTCTAAGGGAGCAGGGACCATGAACTCCCCATCTTTGCAGTTTTGTCAGCCTCCTTCACAGGGCAGGTTCAAAGCAGGCAACATGGCAGCCGTGAAGGTGCGATGGAAGCCCTGCCCTGTTGTACGAGCTATGGCACACATAGAAAAGTGGCCAGGCTTGTATCGTGATGCCATGATTGCTATCTACTCTGTTTTGACTCCCTCCCCCGCCAACATGTCCCTGCACAGCCTTATGGAATTCTTCGCACCCTCATGCAAAGATGGCTTCTGTTGTGGCCCGCCAGCAGCCAGCGGAGTTGCCAGCAGATTCAGACAGTGAGGAGGTTGGGGAGGGACATGGGCCNGGGGTTGGACTAGAAGACCTCCAAGGTCTCTTCCAACTCTGTTATTCTATTCTATTCTATTCCATTCTAATAAATATGTTGCTGTATTTATATGATACAAGGTGCATGTTAACATACACAGATTAGTATGGGGCCCCTATGCTCGTGGGGCTGACAGGCAAATGCCCATCAGGCTTATGCGTCAAGACAGCCCTGGGTTGGACTAGAAGACTTCCAAGATCCTTTTCAAGCCCCATGAGTTTATGATTTTATGATTCTATAAGTTATTCTCAAAATTTGAACATTTGTATGTGATTTTTATTTTCAATTCAGACCAGAACTGGAGAGTTTAGTGGTTAAGGCACCGGACTAGAAATTGGTAAACAGTGAATTCTAGTCCCATTTTAGATATGAAGCCTGCTGGGGATTTTAGGCCAGTCCCTCTCTCCAGCCCAATCCACCTCACAGAGTTGTTGTTGTGGGGAAAATAAGAGGAGCAAGGAATATTAGGTATTTTTGCCTATTGTTGATAAATGTAATAAAGATAGGATAAAATAAATAAATAGAGAGCCACAAAGTTCTTCTGTCATTCAGGCCAGAAGCACCACAGCATTGTCCAGAAACAGCTTAGATCTCTCAAGGAACAGAAGGCTAAGATTACAAGCACAGACTTAATTCCACTTTTCCCCTAAGGGCCTTCAGCCAAGCCCAGCACTTGGCTCGCTGGTTACTGTAGCTACATGTCTTAATTTCAAACACCCTCTGCCTTAAACCAAGGATTGGTTCTCATATGCCTTGATGGTGCCTACGTTCTAAAGATTTGGGGGTGGGGGCAGTGAAGTTTTGAGGACCTATCCTTTTATCTTAATGCTGCAGAAGACACAAAATAGAAGGCAGGGAAGAGAGAGGTTCTCAAAATAACAAAGTAAAGTTCATATTTAAGAAGAAAGAAGGGGCATTCAGTTGTACGTGCAATATTATCCTTTTACAGTATAAGGTTTAAGCCAGAAGTGTTTAACCCTGGCAACTATAAGACGTGTTGTGGACTTCAACTCCCAGGATTCTTCATGCTGACTAGGGAATTTTGGGAGTTGAGATCCACAGGTCTTAAAGTTGCCATGTTTGGACACTCTGGTTTAAACCATCTCAGGATACACACACACACACACACACACACACACACACACACACTTGGGGGAGGGGCAGGGGTGGGCTGCTGGGGGTTCACAGGGGTTCGGGAGAATCTCTAGCTAAGATTCTGTGCAGTTCGGAGAACCCCCAAATCTTACTCCTGGCTGGCCCCGCCCCAACCACCCCTCCCAGGAGTCACCACGCGGCCTGTTTTGGATAGAGGGCACGCACGGAAGCTCGGGGAGGGTAAGAAACAGGCCTACCGGAAGTTCGGGGAAGCTGGAAATGGGCCCGTTTCTGGCCTCCAGAGCCTGGGGCGGTCATTTTTTTCCCTCCCAGAGGTTCAAGGGACAGCAAAAACAGCACACACACCCTCTGCCCAGCAACCGGGCAGAGAACCCCTTGCTAAAAATTTGAAGCCCACCCCTGGGGAGGGGGGCTATACGTGTGAAATCCAAACCTAAGAAATAGAATGGCAAATTAAACTTGCCATAAGGGAGGGAATTTTGAATCAGGAGCTCCTTCTTTATTAACAGATTTTCCATGCGCTAGATTGTGTCACCTGCAAAAAAAAACCCACGTTTCTATTCTAGACACATAACAGAATCATATGATGCAGCTTTTCTAGGTCACACCTATTAGGTATATATACTCTTGGATCCAGCTTCCTGAAAGAAACTTCCTGCTCTTCAAGATTTAGCCCACAAACCAAGATTTCTCAATGTGTATAACAGCTCCTGAGGCAGCAATAAACTCCATAATTCCAAGCAGGGAAGGGAAAGGAAGAAAAACAGATTTCGATACTTGGGAAGTAACAACGTGGAGGTAATCTCACACCTACCAAAAGGTGACTGCCATCCTGAGAACGTCCAGAATACAACATGGTGGTAGGTGTCAACCTCACAGAGGGCTGCAAAGAGAACAGAAAGCATGTTCACAAAACCTTCAGAGGCCCCCAGGGAGCCAATAAGCACAGCTTTCCATAACAAAATAATAATAATAATAATAAATTAATTATATGTGGCCTCTTTAAGACTTACGGACTTCAACTCCCAAAATTCCCTAGCCAGCATGGCTGGCTGAGAAATTCTGGGTAGTGAAGTCCACAAATCTTAAAGTTGCCAGGTTTGGAGACCCTTGCTGTATTCAAAGCCTTTTCTCAAATCTATGATGCCCTCCAAAGATTTGACAGTGACCCTTTTTGTAACATGCAGAATAAGAAATCAATCCATGATGGTACATTAAGATGGATTGGCGCCAGGTTTTTGTGATTTTTTAAAAATGTTTTATGGTTGTGTTTTATAATTTTTAAAACAATTTTATATCTGGGTTTTTTAAATCTTGATTGGGAGCTGCCTACATAAATGTTTTAAATAAATAAACAATAAAATTTCCAGACACAAATTAAACCCTGAACTAGTTACAGTGGCCAGCAACTCCCTTGTTTATTTTCTACAACCCATTTTCACGCCCATCCATAAATTACCCCAGCACCTGATGTAGAGAACTATAGAAGTGAACTATGCAGGGGTAATGGTTACAAAATCATGCTTCAAGCCCAGGAAAAAGGGAAAATGTGAATAAGAATTCCACTCCAATACACTAGAGCAGTTTTTCTCAACCTTGGTATATTTGGTATTTGGTATTTATTTGATTTGTAAGCCGCCCTATTCCCCGAAGGGACTCAGGGCGGCTGAACAAAAACCAGGGGAAGGGAAACAAATACAGAAAATAAGACAAACAGGACAGTGATACAACAATTTAAAAAACACAGCAAGCACAACAAATTTGAGTAAGTGGGGGGAACTCATCCCCAGGCTTGCTGGGACAGCCAGGTCTTAACGGCTGTCCGGAAGGCCTGGAGGGTGGAGAGGGTCCGAATCTCCACGGGGAGCTCGTTCCAAAGGGCCCGAGCAGCCACTGGAAACTTTAAGTTGCGTGGTCCCACAAGGAATGAGCAGCTGCAAAAGCTGATGGAGTTAGTAGAGATGCCTGAATTGAATACTTTAATTAAGGTAAAGAGTACACCTAATTTTATTTTTTTACTTGGAAACCACTTCTGGACTTTGTTCTCGAGGTGGAAAAAATATGAAACTTTGATTTTCGGTTTTGATGATTAGGCTGATCTGCCGTAATAGAAATGGCTAGTATCTATTACTATGTAAAAGTAAAAAGTTGAGGCCTGTATATTTATTACTTTATTATTCTGCACTATAGAGACGGAAAATGTTTTCCCCCCTTTTTTCAACCCTATGTTTTTCCTCTTTTCTTTTTCCTCCCGTACTGCCCCATTATTTTTATTTTTCTTTGTATTACTTATTTCCGATAAACTAACATAATTTGTAATACAGTGATGTGGTTGCCAGCTGCCAATTGCATGAGGACTGGGGAATTCTGGGAGTTGAAGTGCTCACACCTTCAACCTGCCAAGGTTGAGAAATACTATGCTGAGGGAATCATTTCAAGCGGGAATGAGCAAAATAGGATCCAAAGACTTTTTTGTCTGCGGCATTCAAAGCACACTGGCTCTCTTCCCAGGGAATGAAATAACAGAGAGGCTCTCATAAGTCTAACTCCACCCAACCTCTTTGCCATGAACATTGAAAGGGCATTAATTATGCCAAAACCAACAAATCTGTAGCCAACTAGGTCAGGCACCCTTCAGGAATGTCACATGCGTGCTCGGACCCGTCCTTTTATTTCAGTCCTCGGACAAATATGCTCGGTGCCCGAGCTAGTCCTGGCCCTGCCTCAAGGCCGAGGTTTTATCGGAAGGTGGTGGAGAAACAGGAACGGCTGCCCTGTCGGGTTATGTCTAGCCTATGCTTCGTCGGGTTATGTCTGAGCTGTGAATGGGGACTCGGCTGCCATATCTATTCTCAGTCCCCTTTTGAAGGACTTTGATGTCTCTTGGCCTGCAGGCCACACCCTCCACGTATCTGGAAGAGAGATTTTGTAAGCTCCCTGTTGAACAAGGACTCTGTCCTGGCAATGGTGGCCAGGTGAAGGACATCCTCCGTTAGCAATAGCAATAGCAGTTAGACTTATATACCGCTTCGTAGGGCTTTCAGCCCTCTCTAAGCGGTTTACAGAGTCAGCATATCGCCCCCACAGTCTGGATCCTCATTTCACCCACCTCGGAAGGATGGAAGGCTGAGTCAACCTTGAGCCGGCCCTTTGGAATGAA